TCCTAGAGAATGATCCATGTGGGTTTGAGGAAAATGTATACTCACATTTTGGGGGGTACAGTATTCTATAAATGTGTGTTAGACCCATGTTGTCCAGGTCCTTGTTCAGAGCTTTAGTGTCTTTGCTTATTTTTTGTCTTGTTGATCTGTCCATTGTTTTGAGTGGCGTGTTGAAGTTGAAATACATACATACTATGTATGTATTTTCTCTGATATACATTTTCATAGATGGCAGTAGTTTCCTGATATGTTTTGGTGCTCCTTTATTTGGTGCATATATGTTGATGATTGTTATATTTTTTTGTTGTATTGTCCCCTTAATCATAATGTAGTGGCCTTCTGTGTCTCTTTTAACCTTTTTTAGTTTGAAGTCTTTTTTATCTGATATAATTATAGCTGTTCCTGCCTTCTTTTTTTGGTCCATTTGTTTATAGAACTGTTTTCCATCCTTTTATTTTCAATCTGTTTTTTTTTTTTTCTTTTGCAGTTAGATATGTGTCCTCCAAACAGAATAACGTTGGGTTCTGGTTTTTTTTTTTTTTTTAATCTGTCCTGCAACTCTGTGTCTTTTTATTGATGAGTCTGAGCCATTTGCATTTAGAGATAATATTGATATATTGGCACCAACATTTGCCTTTTTTCCATTTTGGTCCTTTTGTATTTTTATTCCTTGTTTTGAACTGTTCTTGTTCATTCTTCTGTTGGATTTCATTCGAGGGCTTCTTGTAGTATTTTTGGAGTGGGGGTTTAGTCATAACAAAATTGTAGGGTTTCTGTTTGTCTGAAAATGTCCTTATTCTTTCTTCATAGAGGTAGGAGAGCTTTGCAGGATAGAGTATTCTTGGTTGCCACTTAATGCTTTTGAGTTTGTTGAGTATGTCCCTCCATTCTCTTTTTACCCATAGTGTTTCTTCTGAAAAGTCTGATGTCAGCCTGATCAATTCCCCTTTATAGGTTATTTGTTTCTTCCCTCTTGTCATTCTCATTAACTTTCCTTGTCTTGTATTTTTGGTAGTTTTACTATGATGTGTCTTGCTGTGTTTCTCCTGTCCTCATGGTAGTTTGGTGTTCTCGCTTCTTGGATATCTGCTTTCATTTCCTTCTTTATATTAGGGAAGTTCTCTTCTATTATCTCTGTGAATATTTTCTCGATTCCTTCGCCTTTCTCTTCACCTCTGGGATACCTCTAACTCTGATATTTCCTTTCCTAGTGGTGTCAGATAGCTCTTGAATTCCTTTTCCTTTTTATTTCTCTTTCTTTTTCTGTTTTAATTCTCTTTATTTCTGCATTTTCGAGGGAGCTGATTCGTGCTTTTATTTCATCTATTTTGGTTTCATTACTTTGCCCAGCATTCTTTACCTCCTCGAGTGGCCTTTTCATCTTCTGCTTTTCTTCCTTTTCTTTTTTTAATGTTTCATTTTCTTTCTTCAGTTCGTTGATTGCTTGTCTCATCGTTTTTTTCATTTCTTTCATTCATTTCCTTGTTTGCATTCTTCAACTCTGATGGCTTGCCTCATTTCATTTTTTTTTTCCTTCTCATCTTCTTTTTGTTTGCATCTTCCTTTTGTTTGTGTATCATGATGATGATTCTGAATTCTCTGGTAGGCTGAGCAGCTCTTCTATTTCTTTGGTGGTTTCTGCTGACTGATCCTTTTGTGGTGAATTTTCCCCCTGTGGACTTACTTGAATATTTGTTTGTCTTCTTTTCCCTGCTGTATATTTTCTAATACTTTCTGTTCATTGAGACATGGTGTTGCTGTTATTGTTTGGCATTCTTTCTGGATGTTCTTTCTGGGATGGCAGAGGGACTTCCAGACACTTCAGTTGTGGAGGGTATTCTGAGCCTTATTTTGTTTCAGTATCTCCTGTTTTTCCAGCCCCCACTGTGTGGAATTATGTCTGTTGTCTCTGTCAGTGACAGTCAGGGTTCTCTTATGGTTCAGCTTCTTCTAGTAACTCATTGATTTCGTTTCTCTAGATGGTGCCTGTTGATCTTTGTAGCATTATGTTGTCCCAGGTTCCCTCTGTGCTTGGATGCAGCTGTGGGAGGTGGGGTGCATTAGAAGTGTTGCAGCTGGGCCTGTGGTTGAGCCAGTCACTGGTTTTGATTATTTTCTGAGCACGTTGAGCCTTCCAAGGCCTTGCCTTACTGGCTCACAAGAATTCTGGCCACTGTTGTCTAATAACACCTGGAGTCCTAATTCTGCCCATCCCCCTGTTCTACAGGCTGCTAGTCCTCCCTGAAGGCTTCCAGGGCTCTTTGTGCCCACTCAGAGCAGTTTCTCCCTGAGCAGTCATTCCCTACCACTTGGGGGAGTGTTAATGGACCTGTTTTTGATAGTCTAACCGTTTCCCCCTCCCTCCCCCCCCCTTTATCTCAGGGGCTTTGTGAACTTGCTGGCCCTGCCTTAGTGACTAATGCCAGGAACAAGCCTCCAGGCCTATGCTGTGGGGGTGGGTGAAAGGTTTGCAAGCCTTGCAGCTGCCCCAGTCACCAGATCACCATATTTTCCTCTCCACCTCCTGGGCTCGGTGTGCCCACTTGCACAGTTTTTCCTCACAGCTTGGAGTCTACTCACTGAGCCAAATGAGCAGGAAGCCTCCATCTGCTGCACTAGAACATGGGTGCTCCCCGCATCTGAGTTGCAGGGTTCCGTTTATCCTGTCTGTAGCACTTCCTAGTAGGGCACCTGGGTGTTTTCGTTTAGGAGTTCCCTTATCGGAACTCCCCAATCGCTGATTCTCCCTCAGTTATCTTCCTTCTAGTGTGTCTAGGGTGTTCTCATTTGGGTTGAAACTCGTAGTATGTAAGTCTGCTCTGACACCATCTTGCCATATCTCTCAGAAGTTCTATTTTATTCCTATTGAAATCTGCGTAGTCATTTGTTACAGTTTCTTACTTACTACAAACATTTCATGCTTGTCTTTTATTTCTTTAAACATATTCAATAATCATTCTAAAATCTTCATTGTATATTTGAAGCCCTTATAACGTTTCCTGCTTCTTCCGATTTGTATGTCTAGAAAAGTTTTTACTTAAAAAATAAAAAAGCAGAATTAGCAGATATCAATAAAACACTCATTCTGCAAGGGAGGGGAAAGCAGAGGGATGAAAACAGGAAGGGAAGAATACAAGAAACTATGGTGGTGGTTCATGGTGAATTGGTGGTGGGGGAATTTTATGGGGAATACATCAAGAGGAGAAAGCATACAAGCATACATTATACAAAAATTAACAGTGATGTTATATACATACATACATACAAGCACACATACATACATACATTTAAATAATTCCTAGGTGGAAGATTAACCTAAAATTATAATGCCAGCTAAACTGCTGTTCACATGTAAGGAAAAATGAAAACATGCCCATCATAAATTGTTTCGTATCCTTGCTAGTATTTTTGACAGTATAGGTGTATTCATTGTGGCATTCCGATCACTGAAGTACCTATAGTCCTTCACCATGGTGCACTCAGTCCCCTTCCCATAACCCTCCATTTTCACCCCTGATCTGTGAAAACCACAGATCTGTGATTTACTTTCAGGGGTTGATTTTAAAGTTTTTCTCTTTTTTATCTTTGTTTAGTTTTTCTTTATTATATGTGTATTTTACATAGACACACATTATACATATATTGTACATTTTTATATGTATATTGCTCTTGGAACTAATATATTTTGTCCAGTTTTATACTTTTTAGTCATTTATATTTTCTTTATTTAGATTCAACCAAGTAGTTACCCTTTTTGTTTTAGTTTCTTCCTTTCTGTATCTCTGACCTGGAATTATTTTTACTTCTCCCTACAGAATACTTTAGTATTTTTCCAAGGCCAGCTCTCTTGGTAATAATTGTCTCACTTTCTTACTGACATATCTATTTTGCTGTCATTTTGAAGTATATTCTTTCTGATGTTGAATTCTGCATTGGCAGCTGTTTTCTTTCTGTACTTTAAATATCTTATTCCATTATTTTTGGCTTCCAGGGTTTTTTTTAAGAAATCATGTTAGGTCATGTGGATGCCCCTTTGCTCGTTTAGAGGAAATATCTTTTCCCTCTGACATTTTTTTTTAATATATATATATATATAATTTACTTATTTGTATATTTTACATCTTTAAAGATTTTTTTATTATCTTTGATTTTTGGCAGTCTTACTATGTATACTTTGTATTTGTCCTGCTGTATTTCTTTCTGATTCTTTAAATCTGTGGATTGATATCTTGTGCAGTTAATTCTTAGTCTTTCTTCAAATAAGTCTAAGTCCTTTTTTTTAACTGTTTTTAAATTTTATTGTGGTTTTGTTCATATTGACTTCTCATATTTCTGCGTTATTAATGTGTTGCATGTCACATTAACCAGTCAGTTTAGTTTGTAGAAATAATTTTGGTTTTACTATGATTTTATTTTCCTCCAGGATATTTTGTATTTGCTTTCTGAGAAAGGATGACATGTTTCTCTCAGAGTGGGTTTAGGTTACATAGTTTCCTATATTTGTCAGAATTCATCAAGTAGTTCTCCTAAGATTAGTAAATTGTACTGTTTATAAATTTTACCCTAATGCAAAATAAAATTTGAATCCTAAAAAGTGATATGGAGACTGAAATGTTTAGAGTTTTGTACCAGTAAGTCTGCTATCTTAAAATATATTTATGATTCATCGGGAAAATTTCCAAGTTGTGCTATTAGTGTTGTTTATATAGCCATTTAAAGTATCTGTGTAGGTACACGTTTTGGTTATTTTTCTGGTAAAGTTATTAAGAACACAGAAATTACTTTTAAATTACATTATGTTTTCTGGTCCAATACTGACATCATTGTTTCTCAGATTAAGTTTGATATGCACAAAATTATATGACCCTGCATAGTGTTCATAAACTGTTTCAAAGGGAAGTCAAAAATGGGTGATGGTCATTGGAAATGTGCATTAAGTGGTTCTCTGGTGATTGAAGTTTGTGTAAAATTAAAGGAAGTTTTCTTCTTTTTCATTTTAGGCATTTTTGTTGCCTTCCTGTGACATAGCTGTAACAAGAAAAGTAGTTCAAGTGTACAGAATGTGGATCCTCCAGGACAAACCTATGTTCATGGAGGAACCAGATAAAAGAGATGTTGTCCAAGAAGATGCTGAAAAATTAGGTTTTTCAGAAACTGATAACAAAGAGGTACTATTTTATTACTTGTTTGATTTGGCAGTTACACACCTTTTAGGAAAGTATGTATATTCAGTCAACATCCTAGTCAGTGGATACCCGCAGGCAGCTCTCTTCTTTGCTGAGTTCTGTGAAGACCTCAGTGAGGCTACTTCTGTGATCTAGTCAAGGTCATTGGTCATCTCCTAAATACTGAATGATGGCCACGTATGTATTGGCTTTCATCAGTTCTTCACTATCATACTGGAGTTGTTTAATAAACCATCATATTTTACACTTCTCTGAATAAGACTAAAACATATCACTGCCTTATTGTTGACATGTTTACATAAATAGCATTTTAGAAACTAAATTTAGAATGTTTGGGCAGACTTTTCTTATTCAGTGACATCTATCAAAGATGTGGGGTTGTTACACATTTGAGAAAACTAACCTAGTAGCAAATACAGTATTGTCTCCACTTAGGCCTCACTGTCAGGCTGGGGTGGTGTCCTTGGAGAGTGATTGCTGTTATGATGTATCTGTTAGTCTGTGTTAGGCAAAACTTGAGACCAGATAAATTAAAAACAACAGAGTGACCATCTTCCTGGAACATAAAGAAACTTGTCATATTTATATTTCTGATATGCTATCTTAAAATTTAATCTGTTAAATTATGTCTAAAAGCAGTTTAGAATTGTTTTAGCAATTACCAGCAAACTTTAAAATATTTGTAAGAAAAAGCTTGTCAGTTTTAAATACCTGCATTAATTCCATAAGTTTGGTTTTTCACTAGTGGTGAAATCATTTCAGTAACTGGTCTTGAGTCCCATTGCCCATGCAATTTATCATATATTCAGATAGTCTAAATTACATCTTCAGCCCTAGATGAACATTACTTGTTTCTTTAGTACATGCAATTCACCAAATGGTGAACAGAATGGAAACAATTATTTCTCCTAGAGCTTACATTCTTAGGAATTCTGGTGAATGTGAGGAATTAAATATTTGCAGTTGTTTCTTCCCACTTGTTAACTGATTGTTATTTTCTAAAGACCTCATCTGAAAGTTTTGGTCATAAGCGCTCTTCGAGTTGGGGACGAACATACTCTTTTACGAGTGCAGTGAGCAGAGGATGTGTGACTGAAGAGGAAAATAAGAATGTGAAAGCTGGGGCACAGGCAATGCTGCAGGTATACAACTGGTCAGAGACATGAAGGCTCCAACTGGAGTCATCTTGAACATTTTTATTGGGGATAGCACCATGTAAAATATGCTGATCTTTTACTCTTTCAGTAAATAGCTATTAAATTTTCATTCTAAGATTTTATTTTTACTGGTTTCCTTACTTCAGTTTGTAAAGATTTTTTTTTTTTTTTTTGTAGTCAAAAGGATTTTCTGGTCAAAGAAAAGGATTATTATACAGTGAAAGTGAAATGACTGAGGGCCCTCCTTGGTGACACAATGGGTTAAAGCACAGCCCTGTGCAGCCGTTGCAGCTCAAGTTCGATCCCCAGCCAGGAAGATGACCCACATGGCCCAGCAGACCTCTCCTGTCTGCCCCCACAGTGTACTTTTTCAGTCTGCCTGTTCTGCTCCCCACTCTGTCTCTAGCGAATCCTCTCACACCACTGTACCTCTGGCCTGTACCCCAGTTCTATATATACAAATAAATAAATCTTAAAAAAAAAAAAAAGAATACTCAAAATTGAGGGATCACTTGTGTCATCTGTGTAAATGGTAATGCATTGTTATTTTATGGCAGTACCCCCTAAGCAGTACCTTATGATACCCTGATAGTTCTTTCCGCATTTTTTTTCTGTGATAACCCTGATAACAGAGAACAGTGAACTTATATCCTGAAGGTCTGAGGCAGAGCTTAGTCAGTTTATTATCAAATTTACTTTTTTTAAAAAAAGATTTATTTATTTATGCATATAGAACTGGGGAACAGGCCAGAGATATGGAGGGTGAGAGGATTCACCAGAGACAGGGGAGCAGAACAGGCAGATCAACGAAGTACACTGCTGAGGGGAGCAGCGGGCAGGTCAGGAGAGGTCTGCCGCGCCATGTGGTCACCTCCGGGGCAGGCAGGGATCGAACTCATGCAGAAGTGGCTTAAGCTTCTTAGTGCTGTGCTTTAACCCGCTGTGCAACCAGGGAGGGCCCAAATTTACTTTTAATTCCAGTTTTTATCATAAGAATTCACTTTAGGCTTCTATTTCACTATGTATTTCTCACATTAAAAATATTTCAGTATATATTTCTCATATTTAAAATGTGCACTTCAACCATGAGGCTTTGTCTATGTCTTGGCACTACTGCTCCTAGTGGTCCATGCCCTGTCAGCAGATTGTCTGTGTGCTGGGCGATTCAACATTAATCTGATAGTTTCTTCTAATTCACAGCTCCATGTGGTCATCCCTGTAGTCTTTGACTCCCTGGCCATCATCCAAAAGTTTTTCATCTAGAGGCAGTGATCCTGTTACCTTTTTCTATTCTTCAAGCTCTTCAAAATCTCTTCTGATGCATAAGATTTATTACACTGCAATATTAATATGCAGTAGTGCCTTTTTTCTAAGAAAGATCTTTTAGATGTGTTTTGAGTGCTTCTAAGGGATGAACTAAAATAAGTCTTGTATATAATATATTGATACTACATTAATTAAAATAGCTAAGGTAGTAGAATAAAAATTTTATTATCTTTAAGTGAAATTTTTTGAGATTTATGTTATAGTTTCTAACGTAAAATTTGTTGATTTTAAGGTATTTTTGACAAATGCTGCAAACGTCTTTCTGCTGGAACCTTGCGCTGAAGTTCCTATGCTCTTGAAAGAACAAGTTGATGCTTGCAAAGCTGTGTTGATTATTTTTAGGCGCATGATAATGGAGCTTACGATGAATAAAAAGACATGGTGAGTTTATTTCAAATTAATAATGTAAATCAAATATTATTGTTTTTCAACATAATAATTAAAATGCTAAAGCCCCCATTAAATAGCTTTATAAAATTAACAATAAGATGATAATCAGTCTTTTGTAACTATTTCTGTGAATTATGAAGAAAGTAAGTATTCAGTACTTTGTTTATTTTCATTATTGGTTTTAAACAATGTTCTTGGATTACAAGTAAATAGTCATATTACTTAATAGCAGGGTTTTTCCATTGTTAACTGTCATTAGTTAAAAAGCGGTAACTGGTGTTTCATATTAGTATTCCTCATAGGCCTAGAAGAGTTTAATTGCTCCAAAGTAGTGTTAACAGCTTTTTATTGCTTCAAGTTTCAAGTTTAAAGTTCATTTTGGAAAAAAAAAATATTTTAAATGATAAATTGTTAGAATAACTAAATAAATAGTGCAGTCAAAAATATAATGGCATCATTAAAATAGGCTTATATATTTTCCTTTTTATCCTGAGTTTTATGTTTCTGGTACCCTTAAAACAAACAGTATCCTCCTCCCATAACAAATTACTGCATTTTAGGGTGTAATCAGAGGTTCTCAGCAGCAGATCAAAGTGCCTCAGAGGCACTGCACTCTTCTTTCCCAGCACACTGGAGGTCTGTGTCTGTGTCCTACCTTTGAAATAGCTCTTGCAGAGGCCTCCCTGGTAGCCTAGACCTTAAGTCTTACACTATTACCACTATGGGCCTGAGTTGAATCCCTGTCCAGGGAGCTGACCCACATGGTGCAGTAGACCTCTTGCTGATTCTCTCAGCAGTGTGTATTTCAATAGATCCACCTGATTCTGGTGAATTCTTTCATCCCCTAGTCCCTATACCACTGATCTGTACCCTAGTTCTATGCAAAAATAAATAAATTTAAAAAATAATAAAAGAAAGCCATACCTCTTGAGCCTTTCGCATGTTCTTCCTATCCACCTTACCACTCACCTAGCTGGTCAGCTGCCCTCTCAGTGATCTTTACTTTGGCTCTTCATACTCTTAATACACTGAAACCCCTCCACACCAGTGCTAGTGGTACCCTCCCTACTGGATGTCCTCAGGGTCCCCAGACCACATCTGTATTCTGGTTGTTTTTTAAGGACACCGTGTAGACAGCACTTCAGGGTATATTAGGAGAAATCTGTCAATAATTGTTAGAAATCATGGAAATGAGATGGAACTGAGCTGGCAAGGGCCTTTGGGTCATTTAGACCAGTCCTTTTCTTTCAGAGATGAGTGCAAGGTGCACCCAGAGAAATCCTGTCATGCAGAAAGTTCACTGATATAGAAATCTCTAGTATCAAATGATTATTTTAGGATGTAAATTCCAATACAATATTTCCTGGCTTTTAAACTTTGTATTATTTGCCAAGAAGCAGTTGTTACAGGTGAAAACATAATATCAATGAGCACTATGATTTAATCAAGATTAATGCTGCGTCAGTAATAGTGAAAGTAAGGAGAAATGTTCATATGCTTTCAACTGAAATATGTGCTTCTCCAATAGACTTTTTTTTGAAGTTCTTTTTTGAAGTTCTTTTTGAAAACTGAATTCTGATTACCATTGTATTAATACTATTGTGATACTTAAAAAAAAACTTTGGGGGTGAAATTCTAGGAAATAAAATCTGTTCTTCAATAATTAGAGAATTTCATGTAAAAAAAATATATATATAAAAGATTGTATAAGTAAATGAAAATATTCACCAAAAATAGTTAGTGGAGCGTAAAAAGGAATGTGACATGTTTTGATATTTGATTTTATGTATTTTTGTCCCAGAGAAACCCTGAATCCCCTCTTTTCTCTCTCCTAGTTCACTTTCTTTCATCACAGACTGAACAGTAATAATGATACTGTAATAAACACTAGTGACTTCAGTTGTGTTACATGCTAAGAAGAGCAGTGGTGCTAGAGAAGGGAACAGTGTTAAGGGCTGGAGTCTTTGTAACCAGTGTCAGGGAACGCCTTTCTAGCATAGCCTTGAGGGAAGGAGAGAAGGGAAAGGAGGTGAGAGTGGGGAGTGGAGCCTGAGGAAAGAGCATTCCCATAGAGATAACAAGAAACAAGCATAGCATGTTTTGGGCAGGACAAGACAAAGGCCATCCTGGTGGTGGAGAGGGATGTGGGGAAGATGGGGCAGTGGCAAGCCAGGGCCAAGTTGGACAGGACTTTGCAGACCAAAGTAATAGCACAGAGCATCTCACAGTCCAACTTATATTTCCAGATGATCTCTGTAGCTGCTGTGTAGAGAAGACAGTGTGGTGGAACTATGGTTACAAACCATGGTGACTTAGACCAGGACTGTAACCAAAGAAGTTCTAAGCATGGATCCCGAGTAACTAGTATGTGAAAGACAATACCATCTGTGTGAGAAGGTGGATACAAAGGAAATAATAAAAAAGGCAAGCAAACCCTAGGTTAGCACATATTGCTGAATTTTATGTGATGCAATAGAATTTTGTTCTACTCCCCAAAATTAGCATTTCAAAATTATGAAAAGCTGATGTCAAACTCTAAAGATTGTTCCAAATGGAAGCATTTTTTTTTAACCCCATTTTCTTCAGAGGGCTGTATGGGAATTTCATGGCTTTCAAAGGTTTTATTTTAGGTTTAGAAATTGAATTAATCCTGTGACTATTGTCAGTCATTGCTTTAGTCACATTAACATTTTTTGATAGTAGTTTCCATGACAGAGGTTTTTGTGAACATTATTATATCTCTTGTTTTGTGAACATTATTATATCTCTTGTTTTGTGAACATTATTATATCTCTTGAACAGGTATGGGGCACTGGTAGTGGTATGTTACCACGCATGTGAAAGGGGTCATTTTTTGTTGTTTTTAAAACATCATATAATGTCAGCAGGCAGTGGTGACTCTGGGTGTTGTCCTTCCCTCAACTCTGACAGGGGCTTCGAGACCTGTGGTAAATAATAGCCCGACTTTCCCCAATACTGTACCATTTCTTCCTTCATTCTCCTCTTCGTTTGCACTGTCTGCTCCATGCGCATGTGCCCAGGTATAGGTTATTCTTCTCCCTTGCTTCCAAAAGCCATTGGCCATGTACAGGAACACTTAAGCAAGTAAGACAGAATAACATGGAGAGTGGACACCAACAGATAATGCCAGAATGAAAATCAAGTGCGTGCAGCTACAGATTGGGCAGGAAATCCTCAGAGGTCACTACCTTGAGAAATTTAATGACATTCAGTGTCATATAAGAAAAAACCCTATTTTAACATGCAGAAGTATGGAAAAAGCATAAAGTAACCATGAGTAAGCAATCTCATCATCTGCCTGAACTAGGTTATTTTGTCTAATTTTTATTTTTATCAACAAAGAACAGGAAAGCTTAGTTATAAAGATGAGTGAGGAGAAGTTAAAAGGAGCTATGGTGATTTTTCTTGGAGAACAAATGGATGTGTACAAAAATAATGTGTTCTTCGCACGGAATCCGGGGAAAGATTTAGGAATATAACTCAGCTGTGAGAAAGAAAAATGCCCTTTGGCTGCTCTGCAGAACCTATTGTTATAATAATCAACACTATTATTTGTTATCTCTAATGTTTTATAATATTCAAAGACCTTTTACATAAAACCCCCTTTTGCAAACAGCACCAGCTCCATGAGTCTGTTTCCACTGGTGACCAGGCCAGCCCTCCTGCCTGTGAGTGCAGTGTGGAATTGAGTCACACTGTCTTACTGACTCCCAGCTACCTACAAGTGAAGAGAAAATGCCAGTTCTATTTTCTATCACGTTGATGGATTCAGAGATTTTACTTTCCTACAGCTTAAGAAAAATAAAGGATGTGGAAAATTAAAGAGTGCTGCAAACGTTCAGACCTCTTCAATTGGTGCCTTTTTGGACCGGTGTAGCTGGAGAAACAATCTTGTCTCCCTTTTTACAAGGGGAAAAAAATCAGGATGTAATGATACCCTTTATCCTTTCTGTTACTATAGAATATTTTAAAACTGTTGTACATAAAGTAGCTTATTTTGATTAAATATGGTATTAATTATACAACTGGCACTCAGATTTTTAATACTTTGGGGTAATACATAACTATTGATGTTGCTGGATTCTTAAGAGAATTTCTTGTACCTATAAATTAAAGTGCTTTGGAGATGTGATTAATAATATGAGCTTTTATTTTGGGTGGCCCAGGGAACAGATGTTGCAAATACTACTCAGGATAACAGAAGCTGTCATGCAGAAGCCAAAGGATAAACAAATAAAGGACTTGTTTGCCCAGAGCTTGGCAGGGTTACTGTTTAGGGTAAGTCTTTTTTATTAAAACACTGCATATACAAGAAATGAATCATATTTTTACAGCAAATGAATTTTAATCACTGAGAATTTTAAGAGTAAAATGAAACTAACTTTAAATTTTTAGAAATTTAATGAGAATTTTTTTCTTTCTGGCTTTGTCCTTGCTATTTATGCTTTACCACTAGTGCTGGGCTTTTTCAGGTCTGTCTTTTCTCTTTTCTCTCCCTCTCAATGTGATGTCAGGTTACTCATATTCTTGATTCTTCTTACCACATGATAGTTATGTACGCAAGTGTTAAAATAGGAATATTTAGCTTCGTTCAAAGAAATAGTTTCTATCTTTGTTACGTTCACCTTTCTGCTGCCTGTCTGCTTCCTCTTTTGACTTGCTTGACATTGGTAGAAATGAGGAAGATGAAAAGAGCTGATAGCCTTGATAGATTCCAAGATATGAAGGATGCACAGAAGGATGGGAATAAGAATAAAGTCAGGAGCAGTTTAGGCTAGACATGAAAATATAAGAGCTTTTGTTATGATGGACAGTTGTGTTTCAATCCACAAGACTGGGTGGGATTACTTAGGAAGTGAATATGTGTCATAGAAGAGGACTATCTCCATGCCTGGAAGAGGAAGAGTCAGTTAAAGCTGCTGAGAAAGTTTGGCTAGTGAGCTCAGAGGATAACTTGAGGAGCAAGTGTCTAGTATGCATGGAGTGTTGCTATGAGGGGAATGACCATTCAGTTGTTGACTTTGAAAAAATGTAGATGGTTGAGAATATTGTGGGGGAATTAGTGTAGCTGGACAGAGGAGAAAATGTGAGCCTATCAGTAGAGTTAGCAAGTATAGTGAAGACCTAACAGAGATGTGGATGTGAAGGGAGCGGGGGAAAGGAGAGCTGGTTGGAGAGCGCAATGTACGTGGAAGACATGTCTGTGGGGATTGTATGTCCAATAATGGAAAACAGGAAGGAGATGGGGATGGGAGCTAAGGTGAGGAGGGCTTGACTGACCTTCAGTGGGAACAAAGAGCCAAGAAGGTGACTGTTTTTCTTACATCTTACATGGTAAGAAAAATCAAGAACATGAGTAGTCTGATAGCACCTAGAGGGGGAGAGAAAAGCCAGATGATGAAATAACTGCCAGGGAAGTAGAAGTTTTATCTGGTCCTGAGAGAGGAGATCTATTATAACATTACTTTAGACAGCCTTCATATTTATAGTACACATGGATATAATTGATGTGACATTTTTGAAAGAGATCAGTGTAAATGGCTGGGGGAAAATGTGAGAGTCTACACAAATAAAGGAGTTAGGATGCATGGGTCTTTGTATAATTTGATAGGTCAAGACAGAAGTGATAGTTGTAGGGAAGAGAAGCTAACTGACCTCCTCAGTTGACTTTAAGGTGATTTTGGAAGGTATCAACTAAGGGCATGTCTAGAATACAGGTAGAACATGTAGGTGAAGGTAACAAAAAAGAGACGTTAGTTCTTTGAATAAAGTTAAATATTCCCATTATAACACAAGCGAACACAGCTACCACTTTTTAGTTATATAATGTGATTGAATGATATTGATAACTGATGAAAAATGTATGAAAGGTTGAAGAAATTGGCAGGTATTCACTTTCTTCCTGAACATGCTAATCACATTTACTCTGCCTTGTCTTGTGTTTCTGCACAGCCTTTTGGTGAATCCAACTTTTCCATGCTCTTGTCTAGAGGGTAGTGCTGACCACTGCTTTACTACCTGCCTGGACATGCTGACACTGCTCACTTTGTTCTGCTTCTCATGGAGTGTCTCATTACAGGCACCTTTGTAAGCTCCTAGTCCTTAATGAACTGAGGTGCCCAGTGACATAGACTGAAGTCAGGCTTAGACTGGTTGGAACTCATTCCTCACCAGTTGATTGGCCTTCCACCTGTTGAGTGTGTTGAAAGTAAAATGAGAGCTTTTCACTAAATTAAGCAAAAATCTATTCTGGAGTTTTATTGTTTGGCTGGTGTTTGTTTGGGAAGAAGAATTTCCTCATTAAAATAGGAATCTTGCCCAATATTACTTAAAGATTTGAGTCCATGATTTTAAAAATTTCAGTGTTGCTACTGGTAATGTAGGATGTATCAAGACAAATGCTTAAATTAAGAATGAGCTATAAAATAGTAAAGAGCTGATGAACTTTTTCGAGTTAGATTCTGAGATCTGTTTCTTACTGGAGTTAGGCAAACTTGAGTTCTGATACTTTCTGGCTTTGTGACCTTGAGCAAATCACTTCATCTTTCTGAGTCTCTTCCTTAATCTGTCACAATCAGGAAAGGATTCCTTCCTATCTTGCAAAGTTGTCATAAGAATCAGAGAGGATTCATTTGGGATTTATGATCATCTGTTGACTTCCTAAGTTGTTTTATGAGATCCAGGGTGAGGGGAAATGTGAAAGGTCTGGACAGATCTGCCATTTAATCAAATGGGTATCATCTTAGTCCCATACTAAAATTAAAATGTGCCATCTAATTATTATTCATTTGCTCATGTAGATTGTCTACAATTGCCAGATACTTGATTTTTAAAAATTTGAATAGGGAGACTATTTAAGATAGGAAATTTTAAGTTGATATTATCCTTTGATCTCTTTCTAATTTTTTCCCTAAACATTAGTAGATAACCTGAGTTAGAAAATTCTCTTCAGATGATAGTTGTGTTTTACACACTTACCAAATACTGGTGATTGTGATAAAAAAAAAAATGTTTTACATCTGTTGCTAAATATGTCCTCTGAAGATACATCAGGAAAGACTACGGTCTGAACATGAGCTATGTAAAATAGCATGAGCTATTACTTTAAAATTCTGTAGTATCCTAAGTGTGGTGAGTAGAAAACTGCAGAAAGTGGTTGGTTGGGAAATGTATGTAAGTAAAGGATTGAGTTTTGCGTAAAGGTGTTTTTTGGAGAGCTTGTATGTCAAGATATATTTGATAAAATGTGAATTTCAGTGCCGAAAGAACCTTGGAAATAATTTTTTTTCAGATTCTGATTTTTAATTTGTACTGTTACTCCATAAAATTCAATTATGTAAATTACCCAGGTCACAAACTTAGTGGTAAAATTGAGTCTAGGACTTTTTCTGTTGCACATTGTTTTAGAAGGGATAACTTACTCAAAGTTCAAAGATTCCACCCTTACTTACACACTGACTGAATTCTGATTTTGCTCCATGTGAAAGTTATTAATTATGCTGATTCAGTATTTCTGCATACATGTTTGTGAGATATCCTAAGATTAATTTTTCTTGTCCTACTAGGATTATACTTTTTATTTAATATTTATTCATCTTATTTCATGTATGTACTTCATGACCTCAAACTTATTTTGAAGAAAGGAGTGTGAAAATAGAAGCTGGAAAATATGTATAAAGTAACATCAATTAAAATTATTTTAATTTTTTGTTTGCATTTTTCTTAATTTAAAAAAAAATTCTTATCTTTGACCTTAGAATCATATTTTAAGTGTGAATATTTAAAATTTTGTTTTCAATATACTTAACTACTTTAGTGCAACTGTAATTGTTTACCCCTTTCAGAATAGTAAGCTTGAATTGAAAAGTAGCAAGTAGGTATATTACTTTAAACACAATTTTCAGGTAGTTAGGAGAGACCTGCTTAGTTATAAAATGCTTTCAACTTTTCAAAGTTTTCCTATATCTGTGATAAGAAAAATGTTAGTTTCTGTTATATATATAATTTTTGAGAAAAAACTAAAAAAAAACATTTATCCTAGCCCATGTACAACTCATGTCAATAGTGATAGCCTTCCTAACCTCTACTTCCCTGCAGTTTGGTACCTTAACAAGTACATTTAACTTTAACAGTAAATTCAGGGAAGTTACAGAGATTTTTTTTTTATATAATGGTTCTCTCTGCTAAGGTTAAGAAAAGCATTTGGGGTTCATCTGAGATGGGTGTGGCTATGTTGTGTGCTTGGTGTTTCTTTGAGGGAAGATATATTTTAAATTTAAAGGATGTGTAATGTTTGGTAGAGGTAAGGAAATAACCTGAATATTCAAAAAGTTACCTTGCAGGGTAGTCCATGTGACCATTACAGTGTCATAGACCATAAGACTAGAGCACAGCACTGGATAATGAAGAGACTCTTCAGGAAAAAGGAGGGATATGTGTGTTGAAGGGGGAAATGTAGAAAACTGGGTTAGGAGGTTACTTACTAGGACTGGTGTGATCAGGAAGTGATGTTTAAGTTGTGAACTAAACAATGAATGGAAGTTAAATTAGAGGGAAGAGAGGAAAGGCAGTTTATGTCTAAAGGCCAGTACAGGAGAGACAAGGTTGAGGAACTGGAAGAATCTCAATGGAAGAAATTAGTTCTCTTTACTATTAGCCTAGGTTAGAGGTGCCTTCAGAGAATAATAGAGGACTATCTGATAAGCTGATGGGGAGGCCAAGAAACCAGCAAAGAGCTCAAGACTGAACATGGAGATTCAGAAGTCCACAGTACACAGATGACAAGTGGAGCCATAAGAATGGCATAAGAAAGGAGATGAGGAACTGCAGATGGAATGAGTTAGAATATTCTTTCAAGAAATCTGGTTTTAGAAGGGAAAGATAAGCGACTCCAAGATAAGGGACTCCAAGGGAACTTTTATTTAAGATGTGAAAGGATTGAGCATACTTAAATGCTGGTGGAGAGGAACTTGGAAAGCATGATAAGTTAGAGATAAAAGAGAGATGGGGTTTATAGAAACAAAAACTGAGGAAAAGGTCCTGTGCACAGCTGTGAAGTATGGAAGTATGGAAGAGCAGGAGCCCCTCTTTATAGCCTGCAGTTGGAAGAGAGGGTGGTTAAGCGCATGGGTCTCATGGATGTTCTCGTTTTATAGTTGTTCTTCTTTTGAAATGTGCAGTGAGTTCTGGAAAGAATCAGGGAGGAGTGTGTGTGTGTGTGTGTGTGTGTGTGTGTGTATGGAAGTTTGAAGTAACCACTATAGAGATATAGAGAATAAGGGAAAGAACTATCTCAGGAAACAGAATAGTTACTATACAGAGAACTTTGTCTTCTTCCCCATTGTAGCCAAGACCAACTACAGAGGGTGGGATAATAATTTTGAATCAGTAGCTTTCATTGCAGTAATAACTAATTTCACAGTAGCTCAAATTCTGATTATAGTATAACAAATGAAGTTTGAGAAATCAAAAGAAAAACAAGATCCAAAAGCACTTTATTTTAAAATTCATTTTACTGACTATAATTTAAAATATCTTGTTAAAAATGATAATACTTACCAATGAATGCAACTGAGTTCTCTGTTTGGTTGGTTCGTTTTAGACTCTCATCGTGGCTTGGATCCGAGCAAACCTCTGTGTGTACATTTCACGAGAACTCTGGGATGACTTTCTTGGTGTTCTGTCCTCCCTTACGGAATGGGAGGAGCTCATAAATGAGTGGGCCAACATTATGGACTCTTTGACTGCAGTGCTCGCAAGAACTGTGTATGGAGTGGAGATGACAAATCTACCTCTGGACAAATTAAGTGAACAAAAGGAAAGGAAGCAAAGGGGAAAAGGTATTTAACTCTTAAAGCAACACCAGTTGTCTAGAGTGTGTATTATATAAACTTAGATTGTTCTGTAGGCTAATAGCTATCTATTATCCATGAACATCATAATAAATGGAACCAATCTTACAGTCAGTGTCTTTTCAGTGGTGGTATTAGATTGTGTCTCATGGCACTCTCTACCCTTAATGAGGATGGGCATTTTCTAGAGAAGCCATAGAATATGGCAGAAAGTGGAGGAAGTATAGTAATAACAGCAGCAATAATCATAATAGTAATAATAATAATGACTAGTGCTTTGTACATATTATATCTCTATCATCATGGTAGCCAATGAAGTATGTACTGTTATTCCCATATAAAAGACAAACTATTAAAAGAAAAGATAGTTCATGGTGATTGAGTTATTTACGGTTAGATAGCTAAATGGTAAAGACAGCAATGAAAACCAGGCAAATCAAACTCAAGACACACCAGTATTAAATGTATTTAACTACCTCTCTAGGGAACATAGAACACTTCTGAATGGTTCAGGTCAGAGTCATTTGGCTTGGTTGTATTTCTGGATAAAAACTGTTTTGCAAAAAAAATAATAATAAAAAAAATTAGAACAACTATATGATCCACCAATTCCTCTTGTGCATAAATGCCTGCTACAAAAGCACGGTTGAAGATACATCTGCACTCCCATGTTTACAGTAATGAAAGCTTGGAGATGACTTAAGTGTCCACTGAAGGTACATTGGATAGAATGTAACATATAAAGTCCTATGCCACATAGTCACAGGGGAGTGTTCTGAGAAATATACCTTTCGGCAACTTCATTGTGTGTGTGAATATCATGGAGTGTTATTTTCCAAACAGAACTTACCTATTTTTTTTTGCCATAACAATTTAGGAGGACACCTTAGACGATCTGGTCGCCCAGTGTTCTTTTTGCTCCTATGATACATGACACTAGGTAATAGGAATTTTGGCACCACAGGATATGTGGTCGATTGCTGACCAAAGGTTGTTATGTAGCACAAGACCATTTATGTACAAAGGGATATAATTCTACCATTAAGAAAAAAAAAATTGTGACAAAATGGATGGATGGACCTAGAAGGCATTACACTAAGTGAAATTAGTCAGGCTGAGAAAGACAATATTGTATAATCTCATTCATGTGGGAAATATAAAACAAGTCCAAACTCAAACTCATAGCAAAAGATATATGGATCGTTACCAGAGGTGGGGGAATGGGCCATTGGATGAAGATATTTAAAAGGTGCAAACTTTCAGTTATGAGATAAATATATACTGGGAATGTAATATGCAATGTGATGACTATAGTTAACACTGTTGTATAATTTGTAAACTAAAGTTCTTAAAAGTTTTATCTTAAAAAAAAAACCTTTTTTTTTATTTGTATCTATTGAATAATTTCCACCGCTTATTGTGGTACTCATTTTGCAATATATGTAAGTTAAATCATTGTACATTAAACAAATGCTTTATGAATAAAAGTGGAAACAATTTGAGACCTACCATGTATGTGTATGAGTTTCTTTTTGGGATTTATGGAGGGGTGGGCATCATCAGATTGGAGTACTATAATAAAATTAAGGTCTCCGATTTTCTACTTTTAAAAAGTAGTTTTTGAAGCATTCTGGCAATAGTGATGTAACTTCTTTTGACATATTTCTGATATTGAAAGGGGCTTATTAACATTTTCTTTTCAACATTAGAATGAATAATATGACTGTTGAAGATGCTTGGATACTTGGGAAGTTTTAGATTACTAACATATGAACAACTCCCTAAATGGCAATACAAGGTGTGATACCTGGTTTGCAATAGCAGAATCAGCTGTTTATATTGCAGTTGTCTATGCCATTTGCTGAGCAACACAGAATGTGAAATGAGTAGCAATGAATTCAGCCTTTAGATAATTTTTTTTTTTTTTTTTTTTTTTT